AATTAATGTAGCTACTAAACGAAGAAGCTGCACATTCAAATTTCAGTCAGATTGAATAACCGTGAATTAAAATCTATATGTGTGTTATGCTATGTAAAGTACTAGACAAGTAGGACTAGTGTATCCTGCTGTTTTTCAAACTGTTCTACACACTTTTATTTTACACGTATAAAAAGTATACAAGTGTAAATTTTTTTTTTTAAGAATTCTTGAAATAATTACTTATTTTGTTACTAATCATTGCTATCACACACATGCCATATACTCTAAATCTTCTCACAAATCAAATTAATTGACATGCGCGAATCTGACGCAGAACAAAAATAAAAAAGAGAGGTTAACACGATTTGTTGCGTCTCAATTGATTCGCTGAATGTAACACCGCCAAATAATGTCATCGAAATTATAATATGATAATTGAATGCTGCGAACACGTACCTCTGGTATCGCCACTTTCTTCCCGACTGTCATCCACTTAAATCCATTGCTCGAATTACTTTAGAATAAAGGTTCGAACACTATCAACAATTCTGTATGTGAATATCCACGCACGAATCTCCACAAGCACCGGTACTTGTTTGTGTTTCAATGAATCACTGTTATATCTTGGAACGTTTGCTGTAAACCAAGGAAATTCGCGTAATTACAATTACCGAGGAACAACGACGGAACAGCACGCATCCTAAACACCCGAAGCAGGAAGTCTAACATAAATAGTTTAATCACTGGATAACGCAGTGGTAGAATTACTACTCTGTCCGAGTAACACGACATCAGATGTCGAACAGTCGGTAACTCGTAACGTAGTTACCCACTTTCGTTACGAGGGGGCAATGTCCATTCTGTGAGTTGAAGTTAGTCACGTTGGTAAGTAAAATATTAATTGAAAGATTTTTTAAAACCAGATTTCACGGTCACGTCAAAATTAGTACATGTATTACGGACAAATATGTGCAAATTGTACGTGGCTTGCACGCTTTTTACATGTGTATTTTCTTCATATTTACATTCACGTGATTTTATTGATGTATACAAAACAATGACACATCTACATCAGAATCATCACATTGGTAGATAAAACGTTAAAATGAAACTGCGATATCTTTGTAAGTACAAATCGGATTAGACAATTTAACGTAGAATGTAAATAGTGATCTACAGTGGGATTTTACAAAATTATACTTTATAGTCCACTCACACATTTTTTAATAGTACAAAATTATAATTATATATGAGATATTGCATATAGAATATAAAGGAAAGGTGTAACAAAAATACTTTCTGCCTTGCACATACAATTCATGTCAGAAACAGTTGTTCACACAGATAGAGTCTTCATTATTAAATAAATGCATTTTCTTGTAAAGTGACTATGTATTGTCTACTTACATTAATTATAAAAGTTCTAAAATTACAAATAATTTTCTAAAATAAATATAATTGTCTTGAAGTGAATAAATGAGAAGGAAATAATGTATAATGATATGTGACAAGTTATAAAAAAGGTTTTCCAAAAATTATATGTATCTAATACTATTTAATTGATTTCTGTTGCTTTACTGGGATAGGCCATAGGTTCATCTTCTTCTCCAATTTTCCCTAATCTTTTAAGTTCTGTATTTCTTGATCTGTAGAATGATTTGAATATTAATATATATTTAAGTATAGATTATACTAGATTTTCATTCATATGTTACAAAATTAATTGTAATACCTGTACAATGCTTCTTCTTGTTCTCGTTCTTCCTTCTTTTTCTTTACAAGTCTGACTGCCACAAAAACAATTAGGAGTAGAACTGGAATTAGGCAACCGAGTATTATACCAGTTGTAATACCAGCTTGTCGTGAACTATATTCCTGTTGTCCTGTGATTTTTAATGAAAGTTGTGTTAATGTAAATTAAGAATAAAGACTCTTCTAGTAAAAGAATTAACAATCAATAAATGCAGTGAATAAGAAAGGATAAAGGATGAAAGGACAAATATAACAAAAAGAATGACAATAATTATGGTGGAAATTTCCATTCCACTGTGAATATTCTAATAATTTTTTCAAATGTCTTATCAATGAATGCATGTGGAATAGAAATTCCCTAAACATTTAAAGGTATAGAAAAGTTTATTGAACTATATTTTTACATTAAGTAGCAAATATCTTATACAATCAGGATACAATAAATCTGATCATTGAAATTACAAAACTTGATATTGCATTTTAATGCGTTCAAAAATCTATATTATACATTATACACATTATAAAAGTATGAAGCTCATTTGCGATTTAATAATATGCTACAATGTAAATGAAGAACATTTCTATTCCACAGCAAAAAAGCAGCATAAATACGGATTAAATCCTTTTATTAATGCTCGATGAGAAACTTTCCGCCGGGTGAATTTTTGTTGTACTAATGATATTCGGCTGCATGGGATATAATTCGGAATTACTGCGAAATATATGAACGCATATGTAATCTCGATCGAGAAGTGAAAGATTCATAAATATTTGTCATAGAAGAAATGCTTCCAAGAAATTAAATGCATTAAATGATGAACCTTTGTCATATGTTATATGAAATTCATTTGAAGAATGTACACCGCGAATATGTCAGACATTATCGATCTCCTAAACGACACATTCCCCATCATTTTACACGTCGCTCTCTTTGTTAGGGCTTCCAGCTTTTTTAATCGACTCTGTTGTACTTTTCTCTGAATCTGTCGGGGAATTGGGTTCTTTCACATCCCAATCTTTGTCCTCGAAATCGACATCTGGTCTGTTCGGCAATGGCTCATGGGTACGATAAACTTTCGCATAGATATGAGGCTTTTTCGAAATGCTCGTGGCGGTGCTAGTGTCGCTAGCGGGTGAAACTGCTCGACCGTACGTTTGTAACGGCGGGGACTGTTTCACCGATGCGATCTGTTTCAACGTTGGGGCCTGTTTCAACAATGTTAATTCATTGTCCACGCCGGACCCGCGCTCGGAATAACGCCACGATTTCACCGAACTTCCCTGTGATTGATTCTTTCGTATATAAAGAAAGGCGCCAGCGACACATGCTGTGACAGGAATTAAAACGGCGCAAATAATACCCATTGTCGTCCATGCTGTACGCTGCGCATACTCGATCTGACCTATATTCGTGTAATACCAAAGAACTTTTATTTTTTTTCTTTCAAAATAAACGGAGACCATTTATAATGTGTGTCTATTGGTGATGCATCATTTTTTATGCGTGAGATGTGTTCGTGAAATTTGAAACGATTTTGAAGAAATAAAGAAATGGGGAAGCAGCTTATGATAATGCACAGTGAATGATACTACATGTGCTATGACATCTTATGTAAAACGTAATTACATATATGTGTATTGTTCAAAATAATTACAAAATTTAGTCAAGTATCGAATATTCTCAACGATAGATTCAAATTTTAAAACAGCGTAAACGTATTCCCGCAATTATTTTGAGCAATACATCGTTTTCATTGCAAACAAATCCTTTCTATTAAATACTTTCTATCAAATACTCACGTAGGCATTCTGTATATCCGTACTCTGGCACGTCCCAACGGCCTTCGGGCGTACACACACGTCGCTGATCGCCAACCAGTATGAAATCTTGGTTGCACTCAAAAGTTACCTTCGTACCCGGTACGAAGAAGAAGTTACTCTTCCGTCCGAACCGTGGCGTTTCTAACACACCGCACGATACAGCTGAAACAAGCAAAGTAAAATGTGTATACGATGGTTAGCCGTCGTTCCAACGCTATTTATAAAGTTATGCATCTCACTTCGTTCGTTCATATTAGTTTCCCTTATTTGAGTGTAAGAGTCGTAATAATTTTTTGTGAAGTGAGCCATATCACGGTTAAGCGACATCGCGTAGTCATATTGGCACTGATAATTTTCTCCGCATAGTTCAATTGCTCGTTCTATGTCATACGACCTGCAACAAAATAAGATAAGTATTTTTTTTTATAGATACAGATTTTAATCCATCAGCTAATACCATCGAGTCACATTCGTGACGTAGATTATAGTCATGACATGATAAAAGTAGGTTGTTAATTACTAACATATATTTTCTTACTAAAAAGAAGTTACAAAGTAAGGGGCTA